ATGCCTTTACTACATAAAATTCCAATACATGTAAATGAATTGGTTTCCGTGAAAGTTAAAGCATCTACAAATGGTGGTATAGATACTGGAATTTTTTTTATACTAGTAACGGCAGCGATCAGCGACTTATAGCGGGATTGCGGCAAGCATTCTGACACTGGGGGGGAACTGTCACTAACATCCCCAGTGACACTAATACAGTAATCAGTGCTAATAATAAGCACTGACACTGTACTAATGGCACTGGGCAGGAAGGGGTTAACATCTGGGGTGATCAAAGGGTTAACTGTGTGCTGTGTGGTGTTTGTGTGTTTTATGGTGTAAGCACATTGCTTTGTATTGCTCTGCTATGCAGAGCAATACAAAGCAATGTGAAGGAGCTAATAATAATAATGATACCACTCCAAAAATCAAATGTGTTAAATAAATATAACCCTAGTAACATAAATTTCACCTTCACCCCTGAAGTTGTCAAAAATATATAATTATAAATATGCCACCTAAACAGATATAATCTAACAATATAAAAATATTTCCATAAAGTCCAAAATGTTAAAGTCCAAAAAAAATATCGAACTGCACCAGTGTCCTTCAAAAATCATACAGGTGATTTCACAAAATGGTCCCAATATTTAGAGCCTCCCAAGGGCTTTCACGATCAAAGCCAGCTCAACAGAAAAAAATAAATAATACATAGTGCATTATCCTTATAAATAAATACTGCAAAACAATAAGTGAATACACTGAACTATATAGCACACATGTGGTCCATCTTCAGTGAAAAAAAGTGCAAAACGTGTTCGTGAATCATACGTAGGTGCCACGCAACAAGTGAAAAACCAGTGTTCACTTCTAATGAAAGTAAGGAGTAAATACCCTTACCAAAATATATTAACAATCTCACCTTAATCCAGATACAATATGACAGTCAGATAGCCCTCATGGAAGGATCCTCAGGGATAACCCTTCCCCTTCTGTCATCTGGGTTCATCAGCATACAAACTCCACAATCCTCCTTACACCATGCTCCATCAAGATGCCAATATATGAGGAATATAATAGTGTAATACTGCCAACACACCATATAAACTACTTTATTTATTATACTTACATTATATAAGCCTTTAAAACCGCATTCAAACCTTTCTGTAGTCATAAGAACCTCCAGAATGTTTGGTGTGCTTATTGCCACTAGTTAAAATTGCCACTACTCCACTTCCGGTTCCCGTGTGCGTCTGACGTCACTTCCCTTGACGCATTTTTGGTGCGGATACGATACAATTTGAGCCATACAAAATGTATGGCTCATATCGCACCGCACAGACATTACATGTGATTTGCACAGGAATGTGGTGTGGTTTCTGTGTGAATTACATGTGATGTGCCGCACCACCCAGGCTAAATTGTTAAATCTGTTAAAACTGTTTTTTAAAATAATGTTATGATAATGAACTGGTGATATCTTAGCCATATATTATCATTATTATAACATACAACATGTGCCTCCTGTTCTGCTCTGTTTTTGACTGTCAAGTATGGATTAGCCTGGCTTCACCTCTCCAGCCTGACACATCTCCCTTTAGAATAATGTCTATGTAGAATGAAATTCGATTTCACTCAGCCAGCTGCCTGGAGCCCGTCACTGACCTGGCTCAGGCAGTTAATGGACTAGGGCTTCAATACAAAATCCTCTCAATCCTCAACAAATACTATAACTCCGATTCAAAAAGGTATATGGTTTTATTTTACATCATTGGAGTTAGTTTGCGTTATTGCCATTTAGTCAAATTTGAAGTCAGGAGATATAAATGATGGAAGTGTAAAAAAATATGATAAAGTCATAAACACAAATATAACTTATTCCTACCTTATAATATTATTAGACTTTATGCTGGTTTTTTGCATTCAACGAGCTGGCTGAACAAAAAAAAGACAGATACCTACGGCCACACAAGCAAGGTGGATGGAGGAATCTTCCCCGCTATGCTATTGTATTATGACAGCAGGAATGCCTCCGATGTCAGAATACACTGATCAGTGTTGTAGCCAATTGGCTGAAGCCACTGATAAAAGAAGGTTTTCTAGCAGGACCATTCAGCAAAAGCCGGTCTAACAATCAGCTTCTGGAGAAAGACACACACACAGATTAAAATTCAACTGATCCCTGCTGCATTGGATGAATTTTGATGATTGTGTACTTGGCTTTACATACACAATTTACTTTTTTTTTTAAATATCAGCATTGAATGATAATTTTGTCCTATTTTGTTTAAACAGTTTTCCCAGCTTACTAACCAGTTAGCCTGTAAAAACCCCAAAATTACACTGTCTATCAATTTGGAGGTTTTAGTTGCACAGCACACATTTGTGAATATACCTGGAAGCCACACCACTTGGAGGCAGGTCACTCCTCCTTAGAAGCCCAGCAAAGCACAATGGCAGGTCAATGTGACCATTGTGTCTCTATGCCAATTCAAACTAGCTATAAAAGATGACAACCACCTGCGATCGAATACATCTGCCCTTATGCCAACACATTTGAAGTAACGATGGAAGGCTTTATTGATTTTAAAATGAAACCATCCTTGCTTGTTAAGTGCCATTTTAAAATCCCACATTTAGCCAAAAAGTAACATACACGTGCATCATCATATTATTATTATTATACAATATTTATATAGCGCCAAAGGGTTTGCTCAGCGCTGTACAATAGCGAGGGGGACAGAACATGAGACAATACAGTAACAATACAATACACGAGGGGTTCGAGAGCCCTGCTCTTTCGAGCTTACAATCATATTTATCATATGATAAATATGTACAAATATATTACACTAATGTTTTTGTACCTACTGACTTTTTGTGTCTTTCAAATAGAAATGAGCTCCCACAAGAAACCTGGCAATCAGGATTATTCATTGTTGGCATGAAAGTTGTAACTGTTCTCTGGGAAGATAAAAAGGGAGGTTTTGATTTCCAGCATTCCAGCATTTGTAGGATTTGTTTTCTTTCTTGTTGGAGCTGTAGATTATACACTTGAGGATAATATAATATTGTCCCTAAAGTGGAGATATCTTGTATATCAGTAGAGAACATAGGAATGTCAGGTTTCAACTTTTCCTGTATTATTCAAAACTGCCTTCAGTAAAGAGGAGAGGAGCAGGCAGACCCACACAGCAGTGATGCTTCTTTGATTTTTTTTCTGCATCTGGGGACTGTTAGAGCCAACAGTAAGCTATTTTACATAGAGAGAAACTGATATTCATGCAGTGACATTTTATAAAGAGACAACTTAGATATGAGCAATAGTTCTTGGAATTTTTCTGGAAAGTATCACTAGAGACTAACTCTCAAAATGAAGGCGTACCCACTGTGTGCATATGTAAATATTCATATACAACATAGCTTGAAAACTTTACAGCATGAATCCAAATCATTTAGGTTTTGTCTGGGGGAAGTGGCCTTTTTTCACATTTTTGTTGTTGGCTGTTCCTTGACTTTTGTTGGTGGCTGTACCTTGTCTTTTTATCCCAGTGACCACAAAAGCTAAGAGGAGCACATTGATAAGATTAAGATTGAGATGATAGGAAACGTCTTAAGAAGGACCCCTGTCCTGGTGAAACCCCTGTCCTCCTATTTATTGCAGAAGAGACACGCAATGCCTCTTTGCAATAAAAGAAACTTACTTGCCTGCCTGCAGTCTTCTTTGAAAGCACAGCACAGTTTACATTCTGGCACAGAGCCTGTGTGTCGGAACGACTGAACTCTTGCGCAGGCGCAGGTGTAACGCTGTCCCTCTGACCAATGTGAACTGAAGGAAGCTGCAGGTCCGCCTGAGCCTCCTGTTACTGACCCAAAAGAGATGTAAAACATCCTGGTGTCACTTACGGCTGGGGAAGAAACTAATGGAATATGATCTGCATCCCATTAGTTTAGTTGGAGGACATTTTTACACACCCAGAAATCATCACATATGGGACTTTATATCCTATATGTGATGAAAAAAGTTTGGAATACATTTTTTATAAAGTGTAAAAAAAATTAAAGTTACCCCACATCGATTGGTAAACACATGTTACATATCACTGCACATGCCAGAGTGAAAGCAATAATTCTAGGCCCATTATTAATGGTAAAGTGATTATAATCTTTCACTTTTTTAAAAATACTAAAACACATTATACTTAACTGCTCTGTGCAATAGTGTTGCACAGAGCAGGCCTGATCCTCCTCTTCTGGGGTCCCCCACTTCTGGCTCCTCCCCCCACAAAGCACCCCCAAGCCTCGCAGCTTGCTAAGGGGGGGACTTGTGTGGGCCCACTTTCGAGCCCTGTTGTCTGTATCCATAGACACCCCTGGCTCCTCATTATAGGATATGATGGACAGCAGCATGAATCAATGTCTTCCACTGCTATCAGTCTAGCCTGTGAAAACGGAGAGAGCAGAGAGAAACCACTGCTCTCATAGACAGCAGTGGATTAAGATAGGGCTCAGGTAAGTTAAAGGGGGTTCTGGGGAAGGGATCCTCTGTACAAAAGGTTTTTTACCCAATGCAGAGAATACAGTAAGGTAAAAAAAAAAAACTTTTTAGAACCACTTTAACTCCAAAATGATCTGTAAGAGCTTAAAATGTCACTTATGAAACAGTATATGGTACTGGACCCTGTTGCTATTTCATCACATGCAATTTTAAGGTTGACATTGGGTATATCTTTATTGACACAACCTCATTTATTTTCTTTTTTTTTCATTTTACTAAAAAGGGGATAATTTCTTGCATTTGTTAAGCTCTAAAATAAACTTTGGTGTGATTTTTTGACTGAAAGAGTTGTGATTCATAAATGATTGTACTAATATCATTTGGCATACAAAAATGAAACTATCAATATTTTATTCTGTAGGGTGTCTGGTTTCAGAAAATATATAATATATAACGTCATATGACGTCCTCCCATTCTCACCACACCATGCGCGGCTCCGGGAGCATGCAGCGCGGCGATCGGCAGTGCGCTGTGTCCCTCGGACACAGCGGATTACCAATCTATGGAAATTTCCAGTGAAGATGTCGGCTTGGCCATGTGATCAGCTGTGTCTCCAATCACAGCTGATCGCAGTAAACAGGGAAATGCCGGTTATCGGCATTTCTCTCAAATCATGAGCTGTCACGCTGACAGCTCGAGAGGAGAGGAGAGCCGGTAATTGGCATCCCTCAGAGGGGACATGTGCACTGATCATCAGGACACTAATGATCAGTGTGCCCTGATGATCAGTGTAGCCCCAGCAGTGCCACCTGTCAGTGTCCATCAGTGCCAGCTCTCAGTGCTCATCCATGCCACCTGCCAGTGCCCATGAGTGCCACATCAATGCCACATATCAGTGCCTACCAGTGCACATCAATGCCACATATCAGTGCCCATCTGAGCTGCCTTTCAGTGTCACCCATCAGTGCCGCCTATCAGTGCCAGTCAGTCCGCCTATCAGTGTGCATCAATGCCGCCTATCAGTGCCCGTCAGTGCTGCCTATCAGTGCCGCCTGACAGAGCCAGTCAGTGCCACCTAACAGTGCCATCAGTGCCGCCTATCAGTGCAGTCAGTGCCACCTATCAGCGCCACCTATCAGTGCTGCCTTTCAGTGCCCATCAGTGATGCCTGTCAATGCCAATCAGTGCCACCTATCAGTGCTCCTTATCAGTGTTCATCAGTGCCACCTATCAGTGTCCATCAGTGCAGCCTATCAGTGCCCATCACTGCAGCCTCATTAGCCCACATCAGTGAAGGAGAAAAATCACTTATTTACAAAAGTTTATAACAAAAACTAAGAAAAAACTTTTTTTTTTCAAAATTTTCAGTGGTTTTTGGTTTGTTTAAGAAAAAATAAAAAACTCAGAGGTGATTAAATACCACCAAAATAAAGCTCTATCTGTCACAAAAGATTATAAAAAAATTCATATGGGTACAGTGTTGCTGACCGTGCAATTGTTATTCAAAGTGTGAAAGCGCTGAAAGCTGGAAATTGCCCTGCCCCTCACCCTCCACTGTCCCCCCCCGCCCCCCAACTGCCACCTTAACTCTACATGCATCCTCTGCTCATATTTTGCACCCACCTTACCTCTGTACATTCCCTCCTTGCTCACCTGTGCACCCCAAACTGTAATTCCTTTTCTGCCTACCTCTGCACCCACCCCCCCACACACACACACTTTGTTTACATTTGCAGAACAGGCACATGGTAGGCTCAGTGGTCACAGTTGCAGGCAGAACTTTCAAGCTTGTCCTGGTTTACCTCCCCAGTGGGCAGCATTCAGCAGAGGTGATGGTGGCTGGAACCTCAGGAGGGCAAAATATACATATGTAAATTGCTGTCGCTATTTACATATGAAGTTGCTGCTATTTACATATGAATGCCGGTTATTTTATTTACATGTGAATGCTGACAAGGCCTGTACATCCCAGTCATCTGTACATGGCAATAGGGCAGAGCTGGGCAGCATAAGTGATGGCATTTCACACTGAGGTATTGGGACACAGCCCAGGACAAAGACTTCAAGGGACAAGGGCAGGGCTGCCGTTAAAAATCACAGGGCCCCATACAGCCAACATGACTGGGCTCCCTCCCCAAACAAAACCACAGTTTACTATGCTTCAGTTATGAACGAACACTGAGTGATTGATACCAATCTTTAACTGTGTTCATTCAGGAAAGGGACTGGTAAATGTGTCATATTTGCTGGAACCTTCCTCCACTCCAACCATCACCCTACCTGCCTACATCCAACTAACACAGCTGCCTGGGCTCCCCTACTGCCTGGACCCTGTACAGGAGGACTGGTGGTACCCCCTTATCCACAGCCCTGGACAAGGGAATGTAAACCAGGACAGTTGGCAAGTATTTGACAGCTGCTTTTGGCCCCACAACAATGACTGGGCCCAGGGCAGCTGCCCCACCTGCCCCTCCTTGCTCTAGATAAATGTAGCAGGGGAGTATGCCAAAAAATAAATGCAATTTCCACTCCTTGACATTTGCTCTTTTATTATGTAAACTCAAAAGTCCCGGTTTGATTTGCATGCTCCTCGTAGATCAGACACAAGCAGGTGGAGCCATTAACAGAGAGCTAGCCGTGTAGTCTTTCATCACATTAGTAACACATTTGTGATGGTGAGGCATGGATTGTGACCCAATACAAGAAGTTGCCTATCCTTGTAGCAAATAGAGACAAGCTGGGTGGATTAATGCATGGGCATAGGGAAATTGATCTGTCATGACACTACAAACTGCAGCCACAACATGTGAGCCCATAATTACAACATACGGCAAACAAATGAAATATTAATAAGATGTGACAAAATTATATATAACTAAAATATAAATTAGACCACAAATAATAGCGCTACACTCAAAAAATATCACAATATATAAATGAAACCACAACCAAAATGAATATGTGCAATACATTCCCTCAGATGAAGTCGTATGACGAAACGTGTTTAGGGCGTGGTTTAACCACTGACGCCATCATGCACGCCACTCCACGTGTCCGGGTCACGTGTTCGCAAACAACTCCATCTTGGTTGCAGGCAGGCTGGTGAGACGCTGCTGTGAGAGCTGTGTGCTCTTATGTGATGAGGACATTTGATACAATGCTTGGTTTTTATTAATCCCATGTGAGTGTATTTTTATGGGGGGAATTTTGGAATAAATAGTTTTCATACGATATTGCACTATGGCAAGTGTCTTTTATCTTATCCACATGTGCTCTACGGAGTATATGGAGATCTCTCAGTTGGAGTGAGCTAAGCTGTAGATCAGGGGCAGACTGACCATTCAAGAACTTGGGCACTGCCCAAGGGCCCAGGGTCAGTAGGTGGCCCCATGAGATGCCCCTGGTACCTTTCATAAGCTTTTTTGGGTGTGGTTTGAGTGTGGGCGAGGACACAGGGGCCCCATGATCCCCTATTGCCCGGGGGCCCCATGAGTTGTCAGTCCACCCCTGCTGTGCATTATTACCATTGAATACACAAAGATATGCTGGTTATTCACCAGCTTCTGGTGAGTGTGCATTTTAATGCGAGGGTTAAAGCACTGGATTTTGCACTGGTGATGGAAGACTTCATAGCTGCATTTACTGAAGATCATATACAATATTGATGTGTGAACTTTACTGAATGGACTCTATGAGGATTCTGTTTATTTATTTAATTTAATTTATTGCACATATTCATTTGGTGGTGGTTTCATTTATATATTGTGATATTTTTTGAAGTTTAGCGCAATTATTTGTGGTCTAATTTATATTTTAGTTATATATCATTTTGTCACATCTTATTAATATTTTACAGTGGGGGTGATTATAGCAGCTCCTACATTATTAATATTATTAATTTTTGGTATTGTATTGAAGTCTATAGGCGCGATAGTCTAAACCTTGGGGTTCTTGACACTGAGAGTGATAAATACTTACCAAGGTTTATACAAATTTAAAATAGTTAAACAAATGAAATAGTTTCACTAATACCTAGTTAAAACAACAAAAACATTTGAAAGTGTACTATGCCTTTGAACCAAAGAAATACATTCTATTGAATGGCACTGTAAGAATACATACAACCCTTAGGAACATCTTTTTTTTTCACTAGTCATCCCCATGCTGCAATGTGTTATTTCATGTAGTACACCATGTATTTTGTATGTCTGTTCCTTGTTGTAGTTGGCCCACTGTGACATATGGGGGATTTTTTTATAAACGCTGGAAACAGAAATGTTGCCTTAGAGACCTTTCTGTTTTGACATTTATATTATCTTGCTGTGGAAAGAGGAAACAGAATCTGTTTACCATTATCACCAATGACTAATTCATTTAATTCCGTTATTTTGTACCTGGCAATCCACACCAAAATGAAAGGTGCTACTGTGTCTCCAGTGCACATTTCAGTATTTGGCTAGCTGCCCCTTATTGCCCTAGATGCAATTCAAATCTCCATAAGGACCCTTTCACATGGGCTGGATCCATTTTGCTCAGCAGGGGATCTGCCTGCTGATCCCCTGCTGAGCTGAGTGGAGTGGCAGGATGGCAGGTTAATGTCCGCTCCGCTTATACAGAGAGGACATGGACACAGCCTGTTCTTTTCTATGGGGAGTCGGATGTAAACAGACTGGCATACAAGATCCAAAGCGCTGAACACCAGGAATGGGTGGAGGCCACATGCACACTGCTGCTGGAGATACACTGTAACATGTGATAATAAAATAATAATATCCGTTTACACCCAACTGCCCCCTGATCCAATCCGGCCAGATGGAGGGGAACAGATTCCCTTACATTTTCTTTTGCCAGATCGGAGGTAGCTGGGTGTAAATGAATACAAGTCCATTTACATCTGACTGCCCATAGAGGAGAATGGAGGATTTGATTAGGTCTGCCTGAAAAGTGGACAGGTGGACCTGATCAGATCGCTCGTGTGAAAGGGACCATAGATTTCTCATTACAGCAACCAATTAGCATGAATATGGTGGTTAACATCTCCCTAGGAAAAGAATAGGGGGAATTAATAGGGCCCCCCCCCTTTCTTTATGGGACTGTGGCAGGGGAAATAAGGTTTCAAGTCCCCCCACTGTATAAATACAGTCAGGGAACATTCTAGAAGGTCAATAGGGTTTTTAGTCCCCCCTATTGGTGTGAGGATGAGAAAAAAAGTTAAAGTTTCAAGTCCTCCCACGGTATACTAATATAATGGGGCGGCTTCTAGAAAATAGGAGTTTTTAGCCCCCCACTACACCTGGATAGTTTTAGGACCCCCCCCCGGGTATATTATATAATGGGGAAGATTCTAGAAATTTGGAATTTTTAGCCCCCCACCTGGACATTCCTGGGAGAAAAAGTGGCCAATAGAGAGAAGAATTGGAGAGAGAAGAGGGCTGTAAAAAGGGGGTTCATTAATGGAAAAAAACAGAAACCTGGGAGGCATCTCTGTGGTGCTCCCTCCCACCCGCCCATTTTTGTCATGGCTAATATTATCGGTAAGTATCATATTAAATGATGGAAGACTAAGTATGTAAATTGCAAAAAGCTGTATGGTTAATGAGTATGGCTGATAAGTGTTGTGATAATAAGTACAGCTTGAGTCGTAGTGACTACTCTGGGGGTTTGAGTAAGGTTAAATTAAGTAAAAATGTTTTACAATTTTTAGTAAGCTAATATGTAAAAATAAAGTGTTATTATAAAGAATGATATTTCAACCAATAATAAAAGGGCCGCAGCCAAGGTAGCACCAAACAATAAGAGTTGTGGTCTTTTATTGTATAGAATGAAGAATACTGCCTACAGTCCCATATGTAGTAGATAGGATTTTGTTGAAGCAATCATTTATATTTAGGAAGTAGCAGTAAAAGAGCCAAGAGAAAGCTAAAGGTAATCCTATGCTGTACACACGCAGGGCAAAGGTGCAGCTGCACTATATTGCCTACATTCGCAGATACTTATACTTCCCTTCCAATTGCTCCTCAGCCAACTTGTGTGCCTCCAGTGACAAGGAAAGAAAACCTTTACAACAGGTGCGGCACACCTCCCACAGGACTGAGGGATTCCTTGCAGGCTTATTACGGCACCACCTGCCTGGAGTTTGCATGTTCTCCCTGTGCCTGCGTGGGATTTGTCCGGGTACTCCGGTTTCCTCCCACACTCCAAAGACATGCTGGTAGGTTAATTGCCTCCTGTCTAAATTGGCCCTAGTATTTGTATGTATGAATGTGAGTTAGGGACCTTAGATTGTACGCCCCTTGAGGGTTAGGGACTGATGTGAAGGTACAATATATATATGTGTAAAGTGCTGCGTAAAATGGACAGCGCTATATAAGTACCTGAAATAAAAATAATAACTTACTATCAGATACGCATGGTTCAAGATGTTCAGTTGTGAGTGCATATGTATATTTGTTAACTTTCTTCATTAAAGGCTTATACACTAGGGCCAGTGTGCTCTCTTTTCTTGTTGTTCTTCCATGGTCACTGGGTTTCCCCTGCTGGTGTTGAGAGCTGCATGGCCCTGAGAAAGTCTAACCTTTAACAACTTTCGTCATTCAGGGTGGACATCCTCCTAGAACCCTGCGGTCATTCTGTGGGCACAATCTGTGGTCGGCTGTGCCCACATGACACAGCCAATGACAGATCACTGTACCAGCCCGATGGCGGTACCATGTGATCGCTGTGACCAATCGCAGCTGAGCTCATGACAATTGTAAATAATGAATGGCTTTGAATCATGCAAATTCATTGTGTAGAATTGTACTGCTAGCTGTGATTGGTCACATTTATCACATGGTACAGACAGGGCCAATCACAATGCACCTGTACCATATGATTAGCTGCAGGCAATCACAAATAATCACAACAATACATACTGAATTAATCTATTTAATTCAGTAAAAAAAGCTTGCTTATAGCATTGAAATTCGCTGCTATAATTGAACTAGATGCACGTGAGACTTTCATTAGTCAACAGCTGGTGATATTTACATGTCATTCACTTTTGAAGAATCTGCGCAGCAGGATCTCTTTGTGTAAGACCACTGGCCAGCTAAACTCACGCAAATTCTCTAGTGTTTCTTATATAACACCAAATGACCAAATGTATCTTAATACTGTTTATATTTACACTTGCAGCATTTTATTTTGTGTGTTCTCATTAATCATTCTAAAAAGCTATTTGATCCTTCTTTAGGAAAGCAGTCAAGCTTTAAGAGGTTATGGTAACACATGGCTAGAAAAGTTGAGCTCAGTATCTTATTTTCTTTCCTTTTCAATTGTATTTGCTGATGCTTGTCACTTTGGAGTGAACTGCAAAAATACACGACTTCTATATATAGTCCGGTTATTTCCCCAGTTGCTGGAGTGCATGTGAAACAGCTTAGGTTTGAAGGTTATTCTTACCGGATGAACATTCAGCACTGCTAACTCTCATTAAAAGGTTCCCCTGTGAAGATCTTCTAGAAAAAAGCATACTGGGCAGGCAAATGGCAATTACCATGTTGAGTCATCACTTGCCCTGGCTGCTGATTCAGTGTTTTGACTCTCTTAATGAAATGTCTGTATAAGCTAGTGAGTGAACAATTTTACACTCAGGTAGGTTAACCATTTTGTAAAATACTGAAAAGACTCCCAAATTCCTAAAAATATAGTAAAAAAGAAAAATATGTAAGTTTACAGTAAATGAGGGTTATAGGTTCTAGAATGTACTGAAAAGACATTACAGTAAATGTGATGGTTAAAGTGAACCTGACCATGGCCAAAAAATTCAGCAGCAGTGCTTAATTGCAGACAGTTTGTGGCAGCTACAGTCTACTGAGTAAAGGTTGGTCCACACCATAGAAATGCAGTCCAGATGTGTTCCAAATACTTTTCTGTATGCACGTGTTTGATGCTTTTTTGGCACATTCCAGTGCGTTTTTGATGCGTTAGAGTACATTTTTTCCCCTCTCTTTTTCTTCAGCCTAAATAAGGATGTGTGCCTTCTGTTGCATTTTTTTGTGTGTTCCAGTGCATTATTGGTGTGTTTTTTGATGTGTTTTACTGTGCTCCAGTATAGTTCAGTGCAGAAAAAAATGTAATTTTTTTTCTGGAACTGAAATGCACTGGAACTGACCGCACTGGTGAACTATGCCATTGGAATCCTTGTAACCTACTATCCATGCAGAAATAAAACTGCACTGGACTGCATGTGATGTGAACTGGTCCTTAATGTTCAAATCAATCTGTCCCCCTGTTGAGCCCCTTGAACGTTAGGTGCATGCCATTGAGCCTAGATATTTGCAAAAAAACACAATTAACATGTATTTGTGCTATGTCCATGAAGGGTAAAATAACAGATTCACTTAACTGCTACCTTGCTGCACATTGTCATGTTAGCTTTGCTTCCCTACTGCTCCATTTGGCTGCAAAAAGTGAACTAATTTACCTGATACTTTGGGTATGGGAAATATATTAATTACACATATTCTTACCAGGTGAGAGGAACTCAGTGCTAACTTAAAACTGACAATGTGTCCACCCCTTGCATGTACATTTCACCTTGTGGACCTAGAGATCCAAGGCCAGCAGTAGTTGTGCTCAATACACAGCTTTAAGGAAAGGCCAGCACTCCATGTAAAATGTATTTTAATGTATGTTTCATGACCATGCAGGTCCTCTTGCCAGAGTACAGAGAGTTAAAGACAAAGCATAGCACAAATACTTCCCTCCTAGGTACAATGTACCCGAGCCATCTAAGCTGTAACTTATACTCTTGTGTATAAATTGTAGCCTGAGCTACTGAGCTCTGTAAACGACAAACTTTTTATATTAAGGCAGTGAAGGAAAAACAGCAAAATGTGGGACAAAGAGCTGAGAGATTTACGCCCTTTTTTGGATTTTCTAATGCCCCTGTCAGAACAGGATTACTGATGACATGTCTCCCTGGCATAGACAAAACACAAATTGAAACAAGAACAAGAAGAAATTTTCACTTTTTCCCATTCTAATTAAAGCTAAGACATGTCTGGAGTTAGGCTTCTAGCCAACAGGCAAGCAGGCAGTGCTAGGATTTTCATTAGAAAGCCCAGCAGGGTTTGAAAAAAGTGTGTCATGGTTGCGGCCAAGTTTATGTTCGCTGAACCTGCAGCATATTGAACCCAGGTATGCTCAACTCGTCACTGTTTGCCATAGTGGTTCACCGCAATATCTGTTGCTAAGCATTGGCAGGAACAGCTTCCAAGGTTATTTTTATGCCTTTGCCATTTATTTTATCTGTGTATATTAATGCTTTCTTGTAATAACTGGACTCCGCTGCTTTCCTTTGTGAATGTGTTTTTGTTTCCAGTTACATAAGTGTTACTGAAATAGAATACATGTACTGTATTGCAATATGTGTTATCCAACAGCCTGTTTTGAATATGTATGATGGATACAAGATTCAATATTTTATAAAGCCGTGTTCTTTAAGGTTCCATTTCTGTGCATATTTATTTAAACACGTTGCTACTCACATTAACTGCATAGCAGAGCCATACAAAGCAGAGTGCTTACAGTGAAACACAGCACACAGCCTCACAGTAAAACAGCACACAGTTAACCATTTGATTGCCCCACATGTTAATTCCTTCCTGCCCAGTGTCATTAGTACAGTGTCAGTGCTCTTTATTAGCACTGATCACTGTGTCGGTGTCACTGGGGATGTCCCAGTGTCAGAATGCCTGCCATAGTCCCGCATTCCTGCTATAAGTCGATGATCGCTGACGTAAATTTCCTTTGAGTGCAGCGTTGCATGACCGCGCAATTGTCAGTTAACTTCTTCACGCTGGCACCTCCCGGCCCTTTAAGGGGGTTTCAGCTGCTGGGAGGCAGGGTGGGGTTTTAGGGTCATGTGACCACCGTGATTCACTGTCACAGCGGTCACATGATTGGAAAAGGTCCCAGTCAAAAGGGGAGATCGGGACATTTCCGTGAGACACCGACATATGTGAACAGCCTATTTCAACCATGGTGCCCAGGAACCCTGGGGTGCGTTCAGGTTTCTTCAGGGGTTCCTGGGCAAAATGTCTAAAAAACTGCCCAAAAATTGTATGAAAGCCAGCACGTGGATGTAGCCTGCTTTTTAGTTACACAAAGCCATACAGTAGGTTTTCATTGTAGACCATTACAATTTTCAAGCTGTCGGAGACATAACAACCAATAATGTCAGTCACCAATTGATAAGAAGGACATTGGGCACCTACACAGCATCCTTGCTTGCCCCTCCCCTGGCCCTTTCTGTCAGCACTGAGGTCACATTAGCTGAGTGAGAGAGAGAAACTGAGGGAGAAGAGAAACATTGGAATAATAGTCAGTACTAGTGTGCACATGTGTATTTGCCTTGGAAGAATAAATCACCTCTAACATTGAGTGTCCTACATGTACAGATGTTGCTGCATTCTGTAAAACTATTAATTTAGTTTTTTACATTTTGCAATAGGTGCCTCAATATTCTGCAGAATTTTAAAGGGTGCCTTGAGATTGTGCTGAATTTAAGGGTGCCTCGACATTGTGCTGAATTTAAGGGTGCCTCGACATTGTGCTAAATTTTAAGGGTGCCTCGACATTGTGCTGAATTTAAGGGTGCCTCGACATTGTGCTGAATTTTAAGGGTGCCTCGACATTGTGCTGAATTTAAGGGTGCCTCGACATTGTGCTGAATTTCAGGGTGTGCCAGGGTGTCTCGACATTGTGCTGAATTTCAAGGGTGCCTCGACATTGTGCTGAATTTCAGGGTGTCTCGACATTGTGCTGACTTTTAAGGGTGTCTCGACATTGTGCTGAATTTTAAGGGTGCCTTGACATTGTGCTGAATTTAAGGGTGCCTTGAGATTGTGCAGAGTTTTAAAGGGTGCCTCGACATTGTGCTGACTTTTAAGGGTGCCTTGAGATTGTGCTGAATTTTGGGTGCCTGAGATTGTGCAGAGTTTTAAAGGGTGCCTTGACATTGTGCTGAATTTTAAGGGTGCCTTGACATTGTGCTGAATTTAAGGGTGCCTTGAGATTGTGCAGAGTTTTAAAGGGTGCCTTGACTGAAAGAAGGTTGAGAAACACTGGGTTAGAATAATATCGGTGCTGTTACAGCTTCACTTACTGTGAATGCAAACTAAAGTCACACACAATTTCATGTACAAAATGAATATCTACTAAAAGATACATCTTTGCAGAGCTAGTTTATCATACATGAAATTTTTGTGGGCCCTAGAAGATAACCATAGCCAAATTCACACAATTTTATAAATATATTTATCATTCTACATTCTCCCATTTATATCATCAAAATGATGTTGTTGTTATGCCTTTTGGTTTGTTATATGAATTAATGGTTATCCAACCAGAATGTTTATGTATTTATTTTTTTATAGAGAAAAGGTTTATTTTATTTTTTAAATAGTAAGCATCACGTATATGACGAGGAGCCTGAAGAGATGAGGATGGCCTCTCTTACACCTACAGTTCAGAACCCTTGAAATGCATGATTGTCTAGCTGGTCTGCTGAATACTGGTGTAGATAAGTAGAAGCCTCTGGTCAGGTCAGTGATGGATTGACTTCCCCAGGGAAGGTGACAAGCAGGGAAAAGGTCACTGAAACAGCAGACAGGAATACTGCAGCAATCAACGGACAGGTAAGCAGGCTAGTGTGCCAGCTGTGGAGCTGTAGACAGGCTAGTAGTCATGGCACGGGCACACAAGACTGCTGTGAAGATGGGTTAGCTGGGTCACCAAGTGATGGGTGGATCAGGAACAGAGACAATGATAAGTGTGTGGTCAGAGTTCAGGCTAGAGTTGGCATCAGATGAGCAAATCAGGAACAGAAGAAGCAGGCAGAAGTGTAAGCTGTTTGGCACGGGCAGGTGAGCCAATCAGGAAAATGCTGGTCACAGATTTGCAGGTAATGCTGAAGACAAGTCAGTATTATACAACTGTCCAATTTACATAGTATACTTGACACAAACATCAGTAGTGACAGTACACACACCCTGCATGCAGATGAGCAATAGGCAGTCACCGCAAGGCAAGGCTATGAACCAGTCTGTACACAATGGCTTGTACAATGCACCATCTTTCATTTTGTCATGATCTTTCTGACAATAACTAACAGTACAGTTTTTTCATTGCAAGATTTTATAGATCCACCTTAGTTTGTAGTGGCATTCTAACATCCTGCATAAAATATTAATCCTTTTATTTATTTTGGATGGAGTAATGGAGGATTAAGGTGATTCTAAAGGTTGTAATTAAAACAAGCAAACATGTTAAACTTACCTGCTCTGTGCAATGGTTCTGCACAGAGCAGCCGGTGGTCCTGGCTCCTCCCCACAGCCGAGTTCCCCCCAATAGCAAGCCACTTGCTATGGGGAAACTTGAGCAAGCTTGCTCCCTAGCTGCTCTCCTGTGAATGAACATTGTCCATTCACACACAGATCGTGGCTCGACCTTGTCCCTGCTCTCCTCATTGGCTCACTGGCTATGAATGACAGCAGCAGGAGTCAATGACTCCTGCTGCTGTGTGAGCCATTGAGGAGAGAGAGACCCAGGAGAACCGCAGCTCTCATGCACATTGCTGGATCAGATGGGGCTCAGGTAAGTGTAAGGGGGAGCTGTAGCCAGAAGGTTTTTTACCTTAATGAATAGGATGTTTCTGCCTTGAGAACCATTAAAACATCTTTTTTTTCATGTCTCATTAGGAAGATTCCCCTCATTTCTTGTGATGTGGACTCAACAGGAAGTCAAAGGTTATCTTTTCAATGTGAGAGATATCCACTCTTAGACAGTTGTCATAGGAACAATTATCCCACTGAAGATTTCCCCTCTATTCTTGTTCTGGTAGCAACTTTTCCCTACTCAGTAACCTTTTACACATACAGTACAGTACCTGCCACCATGTTTTAACAGAAACCTTTTTCATAGGTTTTTTGAGTTTGGGCAAAGACACAGGGGCCCCATGATCCACTATTGCCCGGGGGCCCCATGAGTTGTCAGTCTGCCCCTGCACATGCACACACACACATATATATTGTATATACATACGCATATACACACACTCTTATGGCAGAGCGGGTCAGTGCAAGATCTTTCCCATCTTCCAGCTAGCACACAGAGCGATAATGCTAATGTGCAGGATGTGATTAGGGTGTGCCCAGGCACACCCCCAGTGTCTATATCACTCCATGTGACACCAAAACAGTAATGTAACAGATTTAATAACCACTGGGTTTTTTTCTACCAAAAAATTTGAAAAAAACATTTTCTTATATTTTGTTATAAAACAGATAAAATAAACAATCTCTCTCTTTTAGAAGAAATTTCTATATCACTCCCTGTGACACCAAGAAAGTAATGTAACAGATTTAATAACCACTGTTTTTTTTATTTATTTTTACTATATAAAGGAAAAATACCAAAAAAATTGAAAAAATACTTTTTTTCTTATATTTTGTTATGAAACATATAAAATAAACAATCTCTCTTCATAAATCTAGGCCAAAATGTATTGGATGATATGGTACAGAGCCACTCTGACTGAGCTCTGCACCTTTTGCATGTGATCTCTACTATCCAATTACAGTGTGATCACATGACTGTGCCTGGAGGATTCAGAAAGGCAAAGCACCCCCATGCAGATCCAGATATTACTACCACTTCCTGAGGACATATGTGCATGTATGTCAGTCAAGAAGTTGTTAAGTTAGAAATCTGGGAGAAAATTTTTTTTGCCTGTGCAGTGTTGCTGTGACCGCACTGCATGAGTTAAATGCTCTTTTTGTTCTAGGGGAGAGGACAACAAAGATATACTCATAAGTGTGTGCAACCTATGGCATTAGGGTGTGCACCCCAAAGCTCAAACACACATGCATATATATATATATATATATATATATATATATATATATAGATAGACTCTTATGGCAGAGCTGGTCAGTGCGAGATCTTTCCCATCTCCCCACTAGCACACAGAGCAATAATGCTAATGCACACGAGGTGATTAGAGTGTGCCCAGGCACACCCTCTGTGCACAACTATGGATATACTCACATGACCCACCGTCCTCCCCACACAAGACCGGTCCTTTTGGTTTCTGCCCCACCAATGTCCAGGGGTCTTGTAAATAGACTGTTCCTGATATCAGCACACTCAATGTGAGCTCCACAGACAGGAACAGCCCACTGCTAGACAGTGAGGGAGCACGGATTTCCGTAGGATTGGCCTGTCAGGTGAGTATGAGCTTAGTCCTCTCCCCTAGAAAAAAACGAGAAGCTGACCCATGTAGTAGGGGCACAGCCCCACTGCATGATAGAAAAAAAATTAACTGGAGTTCTGCTTTAAAGGTTTCAACCATGTCCAAATTTTCTGGCCAACATTTTCCCCCAATATTGTACCAATGTATTGTTTTTTCCAAGATGCATTATTTTACATTTAGAAACATTAACCTCTTCTCATTCTCCCATTGTACATAGATGGTGGACGGGAAACTTTGCCGATGCGGGCTAATGTACCTATACATCAGCCTGCATCGATAGCTCCTGCATCCCCGAATACAGCAGATAATATTACCTCTGTGTCCGGACGATCACATGGTGTTTTACCATGTGACTGCTGTGACCAATCACAACA